CTCCTCCTCCTCCTCCTCCTCTTCCTCCTCCTCCTCCTCCTCCTTCTCTTCCGTAGGACTGATGACGACGACGTCGATATGATGACGACAACGATGGCGACGACGACGACGACGACGACGACGACGACGACGACGACGACGACGACGACGACGACGACGACGACGACGACCGCGATGTCGACGGCGACGATGACGACGACGGCAGCGTCATCCACACTCCGAAGGGTCGGCGGCTCTTTGGGACTTAGGGGTAAGGGGGGCGTCGATCATGGGCGCCCACTGTAAATCAGCGTGCCGCGCGCGTGCGCACCCCCCCATGATTGAACTACGATGTTCCTTCCCCTTGTTCCTCAGTTTCCGTGGGACCACCGACGAGGACGAGGACGACGGCGGCGATGGCGGCGACGACGGCGGCGACGACGGCGGCGGCGACGACGACGACGACGACGACGGCGGCGATGACGACGACGACGACGACGACGACGAGGACGACGACGACGACGACGACGACGACGGCGGGCGGGCGGGCGCGGCGGGCGGCGGGCCGCCGAGGTCCAGGCTTCGCCTGCTGTGGGAGCTGCTCACGACCCTGCTGGTGATATACGACATCGCGGTGGTGCCCATGCAGCCCTTCGAGTGGCCTCCGGAGTCCTTCACCAACGCCACGGACTGGGTCAGTCGGGCCTTCTGGACGGTCGACGTGGCCGCTTCCTTCCTCACCGGCGTCTACATCAATTTGGAGCTCGAGCTGCGCTTCTGGGAGGTCGCGAGGCACTACGCGAAGGGCTGGATGGCATTCGATGTCGTCATCGTTATATCCGAGTGGATCCCGGTCTTCATCATGCCGAGTGTGGGCGAGCCTTCTGGAACGGGCAGGGTGCTGGATCATGTCCGCCTTCTTCGTTTCGTGCGAACCTTCCGGCTCTTGAAGCTTGAGATGGTGTTCGAGCACTTTGGCTCCGTGTTCAATTCGTCCATGGCTTGGAGGACGAATCATGTGGTCAGAATGTTCCTGTACTTCGTCGTTGGGGTTCACATGGTTGCCTGCGGCTGGTTCTGGGTCGGATCTCGCTCGGGAGATGGCTGGGTCGCCAGCTTAGAGTGAACCGATCGCGCGATCAGCGGCTTGGTTGCAGTCGAGGAGATCGCCAGTCGATCTTTCCCGATTGCCGATGGGCAGGTCGATCGCATCGCTCCCTGTCGCTTGGTGGTTTCGACCCGTACATGTAAGTCGGACGTGTCCCTCTACAGGAGGAAAATTCGAAGCTAGTCAAATAATAGTCTGGAGACGAGTTTAGGACTATTTGCGATTATTCATGAACACTTTTTGAGTATTCTCGTTTTTCTCCCAACATCCACCTGTACGATGGCATGCCCGACCTAACCGTACTTGAGTATTCCGAATGGTCTTGGATTGCGTTCACTGGTGCACTCGGGCGGACGCCAAGGTCGTCAGGGAAATTGAAGAGAGGGCGGGCGTGGACTACCAGTACCTGACCTCTGTACGGTGGACTCTGGCGCAGATGCACGGCGCCAGTGAGGTTGAGCCAAGCAGCACCTCGGAGTCGATGTATGCCATCGTTGCACTTCTGCTAGGCCTGGGTTCGCTGTGCCTGCTGATCAGCTCCGCCAACTCGGGCATGATCAAGCTGCAGAAGAAGCGCTCCTCCGTGTCCAGGCAGCGCCTGCTCATGCGCTCCTACCTCCGGAAGAACCACATCTCGCGCGAGCTGTCCCTGGCGATCACGAAGTGCTTCGACGTCCACGTGACGCTGCGCAGCAGGGAGAGCAAGGCGGAGGAGGTCAAGGAGGCCATGGCTTTCCTGCCGCAGAACCTCCAGATGGACATCCAGGAGGAGGCGCGAAGGCCCATCGTGATCGCCTACAGCTTCTTCGGCGACCTCGACGGCTGGAACCCGCGCATCCTGCGGCAGCTCTGCCACGAGTGCTGCTCGGAGAAGGCCGTGCGCCCCGTGGAGGTCGTCTTCGCCGCCGGCGACGCGTGCACCTCCATGTACTTCGTGGTGGCCGGTGAGTTCCGGTGCTCGGCGCCGAGCGAGCAGGAGGAGGGAGGAGGGGGAGGAGGAGGAGGAGGAGGCGGAGGAGGAGGAGGAGGAGAGGACGGGAGGAGGAGGAGGAGGAGGAGAAGGAGGAGGAGGAGGAGGAGGAGGAGGGGGAGGGGAGGAGGAGGAGGAGGAGGAGGAGGAGGAGGAGGAGGAGGAGGAGGAGGAGGAGGAGGAGGAGGATGAGAGGAGAGGCAGGGAGGAGGAGGAGGAGTGAGGAGGAGGAGGAGAAGGAGGAGGAGGAGAGGAGAGGAGGAGAGGAGCAGGAGGAGGAGGAGGAGGAGGAGGAGGAGGACAGGAGGGGAGGAGGAGGAGGAGGAGGGAGGAGGAGGAGAGGAGGAGGAGGAGGAGGAGGAGGCGGGAGGGGGAGGAGGAGAGAGGAGGAGGAGGAGGAGGAGGAGGAGGACGAGGAGGAGTGAGGAGGACGAGGAGGACGGAGGAGGAGGAGGAGGAGGAGATGGAGAAGGAGGAGGAGGAGGAGGAGGATGAGGAGGAGGAGAAAGGGGGAGGGAGGAGGGGGAGGAGGAGGAGGAGGAGGAGAGGAGGGGGGGAGGTAGGAGGAGCGGAGGAGGAGGAGGAGGAGGAGGGAGAGGAGGAGAGGAGGAAGAGGAGGAGGAGGAAGGAGGAGGAGGAGCAGGAGGAGAGGGAGCGAGGAGGGAGGATGAAGAAGAAGAATAATAATAATAATCATAAGAAGAATAATATTAATAATAAGAATAATAAGAATAATAGTAATAATAAGAAGAAGAAGAAGAATAATAATAATAATACTTATAAGAATAATATTAATAATAATAAGAATAAGAATAAGAATGCGAATAAGAAACATAAGAAGAATCATAATAATAATACTAAGAATAATAATACGAATAATAAGAAGAATAAGAAGAAGAAGAAGAAGAGGAGGAGGAGGAGGAGGATGAAGGAGGAGCAGGAGGAGGAGGAGGAGGAGGAGGAGGAGGGGAGGATGGGAGGAGGAGGAGAGGGCGGAAGGAGGAAGAGGAGACGAAGGAGAGAGGAAGAGGAGGAGGAGGAGGCGGAGGAGGCAGGAGGAGGAAAGAGGAGGAGGAGGAGGAGGGAGGAGGTAGGAGGAAGAGGAGGAGGAGGAGGAGGAGGAGGAGAGGAGAGAAAGAGGAGGCCGAGGAGTGAGGAGGGGAGGAGGAGGAGGAGGAGGAGGAGGAGGAGGAGGAGGAGGAGGAGGAGGAAGAGGAGGAGGAGGGGGAGGAGGAGGAGGAGGAGGAGGAGGAGGAGGAGGAGGAGAGGAGGAGGGGGAGGAGGAGGGGGAGGAGGAGGAGGAGGAGGAGGAGGGGGAGGAGGGAGGAGGAGGAGAAGGAGGAGAGGGAGGAGCGGGAGTAGAGGGATGATGATGATGATGATGATGATGAGGAGGAGGAGGAGGAGGATGATGAGGAGGAGGAGGAGGAGGAGGGCTCTGAGGGCTCTGATGATACGAGTCTCTCCTAGAGACCCCTGGCGCACAGGCCACGCCAGGCCGATGCCTAGCAGCGAAACGCTTACTGAGGACCGAGCCTATGCCCAGCCCCAGGATGGCGCCAGGCCGATGCCTGGCGCCTGCAAAACTGGGCGGGACGCATGCTAACCTAGGCCAGAGTCAGCTCAGCGTCACACCTGGGGCGAAGCCCGCCCTAGCATCCCACTACTGGGACGCCTGGGCGAGCGAGAGCCTGAACACGAACGACTTGATGGCCAGCAGCGCCATGCGCATGGCCTCAGGCGTGCTGGCTGCGTCGAGCGCGTCCTGGAGCCTCCTGCCCTCAAGGAAGTCCTCCAATGAGGACTCCAGGTCGTCCCCCGCCTCGAGGAGGGATGGGAAAGCTGGGAGGGCAGGCAGCTCCTGCTCTGTCTCTGTATGGTCGCGATCGTCACGACCCTGGCCCGCGAAGGCCTGGCTACGTCCACGCCCGAGGTTCACTTGGCCTCCACCAGGGTCCTCAGGCGCCTGAGCCGCACCAGGCTCTCCTCCGCGCTGGACAGGGACTTCTCGGCCTGTTGGATGAGCGCCTTCACCCTGTGGCGCGCCTCCTCCGTGCCCGTGTGCAGGGCGGGCTGCAGCGACTGGATCAACTCCTGCAGGTTGTCCTTGGTCGTCTGCTGCTTGCTGGCCATTGCATCGATGTGCTCCAGCTGCGAGCTCTTGTCCGCCGTGTTCAGCAGCTCCTCCTCCGTCGGCTCGCTGAGCTCCATCGCCGTGGCCTGCTTCCCCAGGAACTTGCGTGCCAGCTTGAACTTCTTGAGGAAAGAGTTCTTCCGCACCGTCACCTTTGGACAGGTCGAAGAACTCGCAGCCGTGGCCGACACAAGCTGTTTCTTGGGAGGCTTCGAGCGCTCGAACTCCTCCCTGTTGGCCTTGCGGATGGCCGCCATCTGCTTCTCCCTGATGGGTGACGGTGGCGGCCTGAAGCAGAACGGGCACTGCACCCTGAAGCCGAAGAGCACCACCCTCTTGTTCAGCCTCTTGGCGCAGTCCTCGCAGTTCCACTTCTCGATCTTGGCGTCCGTGAGCTTCCACTCCTGAGACCAGTCGATCTGTCCCTTGACGTTCGCGAAAGGGGTGCGAAGCGACTGGTCCTTCAGCTTCTTCTTCTTTTTCTTCTTCTCCTTCTTCTTCTTCTTGAGCAACTTGGCGCCCTCCTTCTTGTCCGCAGCAGGCTTGGACGACTCCACCTGACGCCACGGAATCTTCTTTCGCACCGGCGGTGGGGGCTTCGGCAGCCACTGACCCCCAACCCTGATCCTTCTCGGAGGCGTTCGCAAGCGGTCCGCAGGCGCCTTGTCCTGCATGCTCCGCTGGGACTGGATGGGCTGCGTGTCCTCCTCCGAACGAGGCCGCGTGGCAGACGACGACTTCGGCATCGTGGACCCGCGCGGCCTCTAAAAAGGCGCCGAATCTGAACCCGAAGTCCGAACCGAAGAAGTTCTCCGCAATGAAGAACCGCAGGCTCGGCATCAGGCCATCGCCATGGCTCGCGACAGCTGCGCCGCTCTGAATCGCGCTACCGCACGCCCCAATGGGCCAGGAGGAGGAGGAGGAGGAGGAGGAGGAGGAGGAGGAGGAAGAGGAGGAGGAGGAGGAGGAGGAGGAGGAGGAGGAGGAGGGAGGGGAGTAGGAGGAGGAGGAGGAGGAGGAGGCAGGAGGAGGAGGAGGAGGAGGGGAGGAGGGGGAGGGGGAGGAGGAGGAGGAGGAGGAGGAGGAGGAGGAGGAGGAGGAGGAGGAGGAGGAGGGGGGAAATGAGGAGGAGAAGGCGTTCTCAGGAGGCGGGGGGGCTTCTCAGATCACGAGGTTTCTTGTGTCTTCGGGTGAGGCTCAGAGAAAGCTTCTCAGAGGGCCGGGGGAGATTTCGTAGCCTTCTGAGAAGGCCCGCCCCCTCGCACTTCCCCCCCTGGCTGGTTGCCGAGGTACGAGCGCCTGTGCCAGAAGTCTGGGCGCAAGCTTGGGCGCGAGGGCCGCCAGATTTCGAGCAATTCTCCGAAGAGCTCCTCGCCGCGATTGGTGGGGTCATCCCGGGGATTTGGAACCAGACAACCCCCAACCATCCTTCCATGATGGGCCAACTTTTCCACCACTACTACCATAGGTAGGACGAGGGAGAAGGAAGATGTCCTGGTCTACGGTGGAGATGCGGGGAGTGTCTGGTGGCGCTGGTCGTAGATGGCCGAGCAGCGCCATCGCGAAGCGGTGTCGCTGCTCGGCTGCTTCGACGACGTCAGCAGGGAGCTCAGGCAGGGGCACGGCGGTGTTGACGAGCGTGTCGTTAGAACGAGAGACAGGGGGAGGGACTGAGAGGCAGGGAGGGAGATGAATGGAGGGAGAGGCAGGGGGAGGGATGGACGAGGCAGGGAGGGAGGCGTGTCGTTAGAACGAGAGACAGGGGGAGGGATGGAGAGGCAGGGAGGGAGATGGATGGAGGGAGAAGGAGAGAAGGGGAGGGGATGCGGAGATGAGCGAAGATGAGTGGAGGAGAGGCAGAGGATAAAGGGAGGGGAGGAGGAGCGGGGAAGAGGGTGTGATTGGAGGGCGCCCCGATTCACAACCCTCAGCCTCGAGCGGCTCTGTGACTGGTGGCGCCGGCCGTACCGAAGCACGGCAGGCTCGTGCCGCGTCGGCGCGGCGGCGAGCCCAGCGCGGGCGTTCAAGTTCGAGCACCGCTGTTGGCCCCGGGTCGGCCGACATCCCAGCGATCCGCTCCGTCGGAGGGCCGCCCCGATGCGCCCGCTCTGAGACGCGGCGCGCACCGTGTTCCGAGAGCACGCTGCGGAGTTGCTCGACGTGCTGGCCCACGTCCTGGCGAACGCGTCGCGTCATGCCTGTGCGTTTTCAGTCTGCACGTTGCTCACCTCTATTTTTCCTGTCATTTCTAGTTTTTCTATCCTGGGCCTCTTCCTGGCCACTAGGGGGCCAGGAACAAGTAGAAACGACCACAATTAGAAATGAGCATCGAATTGAGCGACGTGTACGTGTTGAGCTCCGCGTCGACACGCTGCGTGCTCCGTGTAGCGCATCGGGGCAGCGAAGCTCAGAGCCGAGCGACCCGCGCGGTGCTGCCGTCCTGGCACGAGCCCGCCGTGGGCGCTCGTCCTCCGCGAGGGCGCCGTACGCCTTCTCGGTCCGGGCCCCGCGCACAGGGCGACCGACACGCTCTCGGACTCGGGCTCCTCGGACACCGAGGAGGGCGACGACTTCCGCGAGGAGTACGACATGAACCGCGGGTGCTGGGTCAGCGAGGCCGTCATCTGGGTCACGGCGTGGGAGCACCGCGGCGAGTTCACTTCCTCGGCCGGCGGGGCGCTGCTGGTGCTCGAGGCGGCGAAGTTCGCCAAGATGCTCTCCCAGCACCACGCCAGCGCCTGCGCGTACGCGAGCAGATACGGCCGCAAGTTCGTGGAGCAGCTGAACGAGTTTCCCGAGGGGAGCTGGTCCGACGTCGTGGACAACATTCACATCAGCAAGGACGACATCTTCGCAGAGGAGGAGCAGGCAGCAAGGACAGACGACATCGCCGATGAGGAGCAGGCGGTTTCTCTTTCTCCTTCTCCTCCTCCTCCTCCTCCTCCTCCTCCTCCCTCCTCCTCCCTCCTCCTCCTCCCTCCTCCTCCTCCTCCTCCTCCTCCTCTCCTCCTCCTTCTCCTCCTCCCTCCTCCTCCCTCCTCCTCTTCTTCCTCCAAAGTCCTTCCGAAACCGAAGGTTTTTGAAGGATTTCGGCATGCGCGCGCGGCGACGCGCGCGTCTGCACTTCGTCCCATTTTTTGCAAGGGATTCTCGCGACGGCACGCGCGCAAGGGCGTTCGAAAGATTTCGACATGCGCGCGCGAAGCTTGTTTGGTAGTATTGCTAAAAACATCTCGAACATCCTATCGGTTTTCTTAAGAATTCGCAAGAGCGCGCGTAAGCTTTTTGGGGAAATTCCGTTTTGCGAAACCATGTGTTTTTGTATGTTTTTTTGGGGGGGGGGGAAACTCGACTGTGACATCTCTACGAAACCCAAGGTTTTTGGAGGATTTCGGCATGCGCGCGCGACGACGCGCGCATGTGCACTTCGTCCTACTTGTTGCAAGGGATTCTTGAAAACTTATGATTTTTGATAAGCGAGTGTGCGCGCATAGTATTTGTTGTAGAGGATGGCGGGGGGGCGATACCGGCCTGGCTGGGATATTATGGATTCATGTTTAGGATGGATGGGTGTGCATAATCATATGTAAATTGCAATGCGAAATGGTGTACCGTTAACTCCGGGGGGGGGGGTAGAGTTCATTTTTTGTGAAAAGAGAATCCGGGTTAAGCAATTCATGCGGTGCAGTCTATGTCGTGCACTCTATGTGATGCAGCCTTTGTGGTGCAATCTGACTCGACCCAAATGGATTGCAATCGATTCGATGGACATCGATTGGACTGCAATCGATTTGATTGCAAGAGGGGGGGCTGCAACGGGCGGCGGAGGCGAAGGAACGGGGCGGCGACGGCGACAATATGCCTGAGATCATAGACGCCTTCACCGCTGTGACGTGGAACATACATCACAAAGCGCAGGGGCGCCTTCAAGGTATCACGGCAGCTTTGCAATGTAAATCTTTGGGATTTGCTTCGGTGTGTCTCCAGGAATGCTCCGATGGGTGGATGGTAGTGTTTCTAATAGTTTCATCGTGCAGGGCGGCATTCGAATACAGTCCAAATGGGACGTTATTATGGGCAGCGATTTCGGCTTTCTCGTTTCCGCCTATTTGGCCCCGTACGTTTCGGAAGTAGTTCACGGCGCGCATTGGAGTTCTACATCGGACTCTTTTCCTATCTTCCCACTTCCTCGAACACACCTCTGAGGACGGCATTCTATCTCACATTGTTCAAGATTCTCGAGCTTTCGTACAACCCTGCAAAACGAAGCTTCGTGGCCACCCGTTATCGATCGTTGCCGCCTTGGACTCGAACGTCATTTTCTCCAAGGGAAAAGCCAGCATATCTGGAAACCATGTTTTTCCGAAGATGCGTTCCCATTTTCAAGCCAGGGAGCGTTCAGTACTCTCCCGGCAGGCTGGTGCAGGATTTGTGGTGTCAGTACTTGTCGTACATGCGAGGCTGTGCGTAGCAATGCGCGAGGGGTGTGTTCATTGTTTGCACTTTTCCGCTGCACGCGTTCTTCTTTTATGTATGAATCACGCCGTTCCCGCAAGCGGGACGAGACGTCCCAGGGCGCTCGATCGGACTTGCTTCTCGTGGAGCGTGCAGCGGTGTCCTGGCTCGGCGCGCTGGGCCTGCGAGCTCTGAACACCTGCGGTGCCGACAACGACCTGGGGGACCTCTGGACATGCGGACTGCGCCGACTGCAGGCGAAGCCTTCCCAGATCGACCATTTGGACGTGTCTCGCAACCTGGAGGGCACGAGCGCTCCCCTGCCCCTCCCCCTCCCCCCCCTCCCTCTCCCCCTTCCCCCCCTCCCGCGTGAGCTTAGCAGGCGAGCCACTATGAAGGTGCATGTACGTTTCACATACCATTGGCACTGCAGCCGATGTGCCGTCATGGCACGGCTTCTTCGTTCGTTCGCAACCTGGAGGGCATCGCCGCGCACTCCGTCCGGCAGCTGCCACCTGCAGGGCTTCGAACACAGACACGTTAAATTTGAGCTTCCATGTAGTATTCCCTGTTACTTTCGCCAGGAAAGGGTGCCTCCTCTGCGAGGCTGGCAGCCAGGCAGCTTGGACTTCTCCCAGAAGGCGTGCCTCGCAGGCAGCATGTTGAACGCCAGGTTGGACGTTCTTGACGATCGCATTCGAGCTGTGACCAGGGCAACACGTCACATCGCACGCACAATTCCGACCATGCTGGACAAGCCGTCACCGAATCGCCCAGCTAATTCGCCGAACCCGTCATCCACATCATTATTGCATCACCACGGTCGTGCTCCCCACCGCCAGCGTGTACGCAAACGCAAGCAACAAACTGAGCAAAAACTTAACAAACTCAACGGTAGCAGACCCTGGTTCACGACCACGCCGACGGTGCTCAAGGTTGATGGTAGACCGACGGCAGATTGAGCACACTTGTTGGAGTGCAGGTACTCTCTCGGCCGCCAGAGGTTCACCGACCCGGAGAATTCACGCGACCTTCTACTTTCCAGGCTCTCTGCAGGAGTAGTCGCCCACAGGACAGGAGTAGTCGCGCACAGGAATGCAATCCGAAACGGTTGTGTACGGTGGAGCTGTTCGACGTGATGCAGGCCAGAGCATCCTCCCTTCGTGCAGGCTCGGCGCCGGGTCCAGATGGCGTCCCACCAGACGTGCACTTGTCTCTGCCGTGGATTGCTTTTTTAAACATGCGGCGACTTTTTCGTGATCGATTTGGTTTTGGTGATTCTGGCGATTCGTTGTAGGAAAGTGGTGGGTTTCATAGGCAAACCAAAAGAACACTTCAAATTGATCTTGGTGATCTCCGCTGGATTGGTAAGACACCGGCGTTGCAGAGGTGGTACATCAAGGCAGTTCGACCTTCCATGATACATCAACTGCGTCCCTGCGCTGTCCGCACCTACGTGTTCGAGCAACGATGTCATTCTGAAGATATTTTTGGATTGGCCCAACATGTGTTCTTTCTTGCTGACGTTTGGGGCTTGCCCCTCCACTGTGCGGTAAAAGATGTGTCCCTTGGTTTCGGCCCGTACCTACAGCCCTAGCCGTGCGGGGGGACTTCAAGCTGGCAGCGTGGCTGCCCTCATGCTGGAACTCACTGGCGTTTCCGCTGTTTTGTAGATCCCGAGCGCTGGCCTTACGGAGCTGTTCCCATACACCCGTGGAGGTACAGACGGGGCTGCAGAAACGCCAGACGTGCGGAGTGCCTTGTTTGAGTTTTGTATGGGACCATCTCGGCGAGCTTGGGGCTTCGGCTTCCGCCTGGATGAGGAGGAGTGCGCGCACGCGGTGTGGGCAGACAACATATTCTTGCCCTCCTCCACGTGAATCCGTCATACGCACAATGATGCAAGGGCTAACAGACGCCATCGGCACGCTCGGCTTGCGCTGGAAGTATCCTCCCTGCAGTGTATGTCGGCCTGAGGCTGGCCCTGACCCACCACCCACTGTCCACCATCATGGAGCCTGGCTTGTCTATGAGAACGTCGGGAACTTGCCTGTGTTCGGGACCTGCGTCGACAGAATGGAGCACCGACTTTCGGGCGCATCAGGGCTTATCTACAAGCACCGCCGAATCTTCGTATCAAAGGCCACCAGAAAAGGGAAGAACGTCTCGCATGGCGTCGTGCACGATCGACATCTGCAGCTCTTGTGTCTCCGGCATGGCATTTCTAATCAAACTGTATTACGTCTTGTCCCGTCTTGGGAATTTGATCACGCACAGTGGACTTTGAAGTTGATACGGAGGCCAGTCGAAGGGCATGCGGGGTACGTGCAACGAGCCGCAGCCCAAATCCATCGATGGTTCGATAAGGTTCCGTTGGGCCGCTGCATTTGCGTATAGTGAAAGCCGGGTTCAAGGCCGTATGGCTGGACCATTTTCGACGCGGTAGCCAACTTGCCATTGCGCGGCGATTCTGTACAATGCTCGAGTGGCAGAGCCTCCGCTCCGTGTGTTCTGCAAGCCGGCGACGGCGAGAAGAATTGGTGCACGGATCCCGCGGCGCAGTGCGATCCCATCTGGACGCCCCGCTCTGCGTCGTTATTGGGCTGCATTGGCGGGGGCTGTTGCGCACGTGCGACACGTTCAAGGATTAGATGGGCAATTTCAAGAAATTTACATAGACCCTGTGCGCAGCCTGGCGCCCTTCCGAGCCATCCTCCCAAACTGGCTAAGGCAAACAACGGCGAGGGTAAGAACGCACCGCGCACGCAGTGGACGTCATCCCCGCGTTGCGCCAGCACCCTGCTGACGAACATTGGGACCCAGGTGGGCGACGACAGCCAGACCGTTGCTGTCTTGGTCAATGGTCACGCGGTGCTGACAGATGACTCTCAGCGTCCGGCTTTTGTTCGGATTCTCCGTAACCTCGCTGTTCTGCCAGCGCGAGGTTTGAAACCGCAAACCGTGACAGCCAGCGCGGTGCAGTGGCAGTCGCGCTGGCCCAACAATTTTGCCGACCACACTGCCAACCACGTCCTCGAGAGCAAGGCGTCATGGTCCTGGCAAGAGCTCTCGTCCGTCCAAAGCGACCCATCATGTCTGATGTTCTCCTGCGACGGTGGGTTCGTGGCTGGCATCGGAGCCTCTGCGCACGCTCTCCCGGACATGCATGGGGGCAGGGGCGCCATCGTGGCTACTGGGGGCGCTTACATCCAACGTTGCAAGAGCACCTTCGAAGCTGAGGTCGTCGCCTTGGAGACTGGTATCACTGCCCTTCAGAGCGCCCTTCCTTTCCCTCTCTCCTCTGACGGTCTTCTCCCCGCGCCCCTCTTCGCCTCTTTATTTAGCTTGGCACGTGGCGTCACCGATTCGTGCCCGGAGAAGTATAGCGCAGACAGTCTGTGGAAAGGATTCGACAGACAGGCCACGATGACAGGCGGCGACGAGGCGGCATCGGGGCGGCGACGGGACCGGCCGTCAGACCCAGACGACGGGCGGCGACGAGGCGGCGACGGCGGCAGCCGCCAGATTGGCCCTCAGGCGCAGTTCCTTAGAACAGAAGCAGGAACCCCTAAGTGCCAGCGCTTTGGTGTACTTGGTTATCGCGGGACGGGACGGGACAGGGTGTACTTGGTCATCGAAGTGGGGCCCCTTAAACCGCCAATGCCTCCCCAAACCCTGCTTCTACCATTCCTCCCTTCCTTGCCCGTCCTTCACCTCCTCCCCCCCCTCTTGCCGATCCTCCTCCTCCTCCTGCTCCTCCTCCTCCTCCTCCTCCTCCTCCTCCTCCCCCCCCTCCCTGAGGCGACGTTCGAACGTCGGGTCACCACGGGCAGGACGATCTCCAACGCCAACCAACACTACATTTTCATATCTCACCACAAGGCTGGCGGAGGCACCGAGGCCGCGGTGATGCAGGAAAAAGGGGCGGAGGTGCATGAGGAACAGGCGGTCGAACATGTTCCGAGATTTCCAACGTTTTAGTTTGATTTTTTCAGGGGGTTGTCGTTCTTTCTCTGACGGTTCCCAAAGTCTAGGAGTGAGGAGAAAATTGGATTTGTGCCCTTCAAGGTGATTTGGCGGAGTCCTGCCGAAGTCGGGTTGGGCACGTCCAGTCCCATCCTCGATTGTTGGTGCTCGTGAAAACCATGGACACCTTTTTGAATGATAGGTTTTTGCCATCTGACAGAGTGGCGCACATGGGACTCGTGGCTGGTGTTGTGCAATGCGCATGAGTGGCTTGTGACAGACACCTCTAGTTTTCTGGTGTGTGTGTGTGTATGTGTGCGTAATTGTCAGCCGACGGAGTGTCGCACTTGGGGCTAGTGGTTGGTGTGTGCAATGCGCATGAGTAGTTCGTGACAGACACCTCTAGTTTTCTGGTGTGTGTGTGTGTGTGTGTGTGTGTGTGTGCGTGATTAGTTATCTGTTTGCGTGTTCCGCACCTGCGGGCCTTTCGGGCCCGTGCCCCGCCTCCCCGCCCCGCGGGCCCGCCCTCCGCCACCCCGCCGCGCGACAGCTTGCCCTGGCGCTCTCCTGGCCTGTCCAGCTCGCGCCTCGGCCCGGCGCGCCCGCCTGCTGCACGCCGTTGGATACATCAGCTGGCTCACCCACGGTCCTCCTGTAAAGGGACATGGCGTGCTTCCAATGTCCTAGACCAATGCGTCTCGATCGATTGATGTGCACACCCGCGCGCCGCCGACCAGGGGGCCTTCAGAACTCGTTTTGGAGGGCTTCCGCGGGGACGGCCTGCGCGATGGTCTTGGCCAGCTTCGCTTTCAGCCGCAGATGCCCCGGCGGGCACTTGGGCCCTCGGGCGTCAGTTTTGACTGCTGTCTCGCCTCATGGAGACCGTTCGGCGTTGCTGTTCAGCGCTTCCCCGCTGAACAGGGGGAGGAGGAGGAGGAGGAGGAGGAGGAGGAGGAGGAGGAGGAGGAGGAGGAGGAGGAGGAGAAGGAGAGGGAGGAGGAGGAGGAGGAGGAGGAGGAGGAGGAGGAGGAGGAGGAGGAGGAGGAGGAGGAGGAGGAGGAGGAGGAGGAGGAGGAGGAGGATTGAGGAGGAGGAGGAGGAGGAGGAGGAGGTCGAGGAAGTCGAGAACTGGGCGGGGGACGTGGGAAGCGAGGGCAGCACGAGCGAGCATGGCGACCACCCGTTCGAAGAAGAACAACGTCATTAACATACAGTTTGGGCGATCCGCGCGGACGTCTTGGATCCGCGCTGGACCGCCCCCGTCGGCGCCTCTGGCGCTGCCCCTGGCGCGCTCCGCGCGCCAGCGAGGTGGGTCCAGCGCAGATCCACGAAACCCGCGTGGAACATCGACAGTTTATGATTGCGGCGTTTTGTTGTTGAAGATTATTACTTCTTAAGAATAATTATTGTTGGGACCCCTGGTGCACGACCCCCCCGCCGCGCCTAGGCCGCAGCCACGTTTTCATCATTTTCATGAGGAAGTCTCAGGCAAAACGGGTTGGTCCGGATCCGGTTGTGTTGTTACGATCGGTTTTCCCTTGCAAAAAATCGGCTAAAGTGGACATTTCTTGTTCTCATATCCAAACTTCAAGAATCCCTTGCAAAAAATAAGGTAAAGTGGACATTCGCGCGCGCAAGACGAAATCCTTCCAAAACCTTAGTGTTCGTAGCGATTTTAACATAAAAACATCAAAAAACCAATGGTTTTTCAACAAAAAAATGTCAAAATCTCATCCCGCGCGCTCTTGCGGATTCGTAGGAAACCCAACACTTTTTAAACATTTCTGTCAAACGGGCTTTTGCGAGCAACTTTTTCGAACTTCTGCAACAACGGTTGCGCACCTGCCAGGGCCATCATCCCTGTCAAATAATACCATGCGGGACACATTCGTTTTTTCTTCGCGCGCGCACGCCGTCGTCGTCGGCCGCGGGGCCCTGAATAGTAGCCACGGTCGTCCGCATGCCACGAAGTGAAGTGTCCGAACGTCATAGGGCGGGAAGCTGGGTGTGGGTGGTGGCGAAGAGTCGTTTGGAAATTTGGTAGAGCTTGAACCGGCCCCCCCACAAAGTGGGGGTATTGCCCGCCTCCTATGAAAACCCTGGCACTGGTGAGAACGGAGTGTCCCCACGTGCTAGTAATTGTTGTTGCTTCTGTTGCTGTTGTTGCTGTTGTTGCTGTTGCTGTTGCTGCTGTTGTTGTTGTTGCTGTTGTTGCTGTTGTTGCTGTTGTCGCTGTTGCTGTTGCTGCTGTTGCTGTTGTTGTTGTTGTTGTTGCTGTTGTTGTTGCTGTTGTTGTTTCTGCTGCTGCTGTTGTTGTTTGTTTTTTCAGACCCGTACCAGCCCCTCTTCCGCCCAGGTCGGGACGGGCGCAGGCTGCGCGAGGGAGCGCCGATCCCAGGCCCGCCCCCAGTACGACCCGTGCCCCCCCCGGGTCGTCGTGGGCGGCGGCCGCCGCCGACCGCTCCAGAAGGGCGACCCCTACGGCGCGAGTTCGACCCCGCATGGTGTGTCCGGCGTCGCCCCCTCGCTAGTTAGGCTTGGCCAGCCCGGTTTGGGCAACCGAGCTAACGAACCGATCGCCGCTACCCGAACAGCACAGACAAAGCTTCGCGAACCGAGCGTCACTAGCGAAGCTGAGCCAGCCCAGCTTAGCCAAGCGATCTTGGCAAGCCAAGCTCAGCTTACCAAGACCGTCCTGCCGATCCTGGCAAGAAGCGATTCAATCACAACTGCGCAGGCTTAACACACAACAGTGTCCAAGCAAGCTTCACCCATGGCCAAGCATCTCTAACCAAGTTTAGCCAACGCGGCTTAGCGATCTAAGGGTCACAAGCAAAGTTTGACTTCCCAGCTTAAGCCACCAAGCCTAAAAACCAAGCTTACCTAGCCGCGTTTCAATCCCTACGCTAAGATATCCAAGCTTAACGAATCGAGCTCAACTAACCAAGCTTGGCCTGGCAGTCATTAACTAGCCAAGCGAAACTAAATACGGTTGAGCATATGATTAAGACACCTCCTCCCGAAAAGCTGGATCTGCGTTCCTTGACTAACTTGCCAGACAACTGGCCCAGTTTCTTGAGCGCGTTCGCTCTTCCAGCGTTTACGAAAACTTGGTCCAGGTTTTCTTCTGACACTTTCAGAAAGCTAGCCCAGGTTTCTTGAGTGATAACGATAATTTTCTGGATCGTAGCTTCGGCTGTACAACCAGCACTAGCAACGAGCACTCGCAGCCCCGCTTCCACTGTCCAGTTACATCGCGCCGCCGTTCCACGTAGCTTGCAGTCACGCCGACTATATCTCGCCGCATATACCGCGCCACTTTGATTGCGTGCCTTAGGTTGCGCCGCACATAGTTTGTTCCATAGTTTGCGCCAGTTCTATTGCGCCGATGATCTTGCGCCACATATCTTGTGCATCGCAGCTTCCGCATTGCAACTTCTGCATGTCCAGGCGTGCATACCGCAGGACGGGTGGGAAGAAGGGCGGGGAGCTCACCATGGGGCCAAGAAACGTATGAGAGGTGACCGAAACGAGTGGGACTTTGCCACTGGGCGCGTCAAGCCGAAGGGGAACCGCACTCGAACTGTACCACTGGAGCCTTCAGTGGAGCTCCTGAGGGGCGCCACGAGACGTGTGAATTTTGCACGGGATGGGGGTGAAATTGCCTGCAGATTGTGCCATTGGGGCCTTCGGAGGAGTTCCCTATGGGACCACGAAGCGCACGAGGGATACGCCGAAATGCAGCGGTCCAGCCATCTGCACTTTGCCACTGGGGCCCTCGGTGGAGTTCCCTATGGGGCCACGAAGCGCGTGAGGGGAGCGCCGCACACGGGGGGTGGAACCGCTTGCGGATCCGCTTTCATGGGGCCGCGAGACGTGAGGGGTGTGCCGAAATGGGGTGTTGAACCGCATGCGGACTGTGCCACCGGGGCCTCCGGTGGAACTCCTTTCATGGGGCCGCGAGGCGTGACGTGTGAGGTGTGCGCCGAGATGGGGTTGTGTGTGAACCGCATCCGGACCGGGCCGATGTTGCCTATGGTGGAACTCCCTGGGCCACGAAACGTGTGAGGGGTGTGCTGACATGGGAGGTGAAACCGCAAGCGGACTGCCACTGGGCCTTTTGGTGGAGCTTTCTGTGGGGCCACGAAATGTGTGAGTGGCGCCGAAATGGAGGGGGAACCGCATGACGGCTGCCATTGCGGCCTTCGGTGGAGCTCCTCAGGGGAGCCACGAAACGCGTGAGGGGTGCCAGGACTGTGGGGTGGAACTGCCTGCGGACTGTACCGCTGGGGCCTTCGGAGGAGTTCCCTATGGGGCCACGGGACGTGTGATGGACTGGCCGAGCGCGCGTAGGTCAAAATCATTTGACAGCAGTGGATCGCAATGTCAAGACATTGCTGTTCAAAATGTATGAAAAACCCAGCTGCTGTGTACAACGCGTTGCCAGATGTCTGCGCGCTTGCTGACATCCTAGAGGCACACTTGTTGTTTAGCCCCTCTTTGAAAGGGTAGCACGCGGGT